ACCCATACACACACACTGCACAAACACTGTCCCCATACACACACACTGCCCCCACACACACACTGCCCCCCAAACACTCTCCCCCATACACACACTGCCCCAAAAACACATACAGTGCCCCCATACATACACTGCCCCCTAACACACACACTACAACCCTGACATACACTGCCGCACTCACACACTTCACCCTTAACACACACCACTGCTCCTATACTCTATATCCCAGCAGACCGCAGGTAAGTTGTCAAACTGTTCTTAAACGGTATGACTACTTACTCTGGGGTGGAATCCTGGCACTACTGAGCTGTAGTGGTTATTGTGCCTGGATTATTTAATTAAATAATCTACAAGTGCCCCTCCCGAGATCAGGCTCTGGATCCGCCACTGGTACATTCACCCCAGGCTGACCCCTTTTGCCAGATTTAGAGATGTAATCATATGATTGTTGAAGGGGGTGAGGGGGTATGTGGTAGATGGAGGGGGATAGTGGTGGTATGACCAGTGGGTGGCAATTTCCATGATGCAGTTAACATCATACACAATGTGTCCACCTGTTATGTGCCCTCCTGGTGTGCTTGTGCACTAGTATAACAGAATATCAGGTAGAACTGCCAATCAAGGTTGCCCACACATCAAACACTGCTGAAGAACTAGCATATAAGCTTAATGCCCTGGAACGATTAGAAGTGTAGCTCCAGCATGACTATTCATTATTTGCACTACACTTTACCTTAGTTCTCACAAATCTGGATGACAGAGCTGGTCTACAACATGGAATGTCACATGTCACTGCAATGTGACTTGACCGGTGGTACATATAATTTAATGTATATGATTTTTACTTTTTAAGGAAAGGTACTTAAAGGAACACTCTGGGCACCCTAAAAACTTCATATCAATGAAGTTGCTATGCTGCCAAAGGGTCCTGAGCACCATCTTATTTTAAGGGCTTAAACCATTATGAACACTTTAACCCCGAAGTTGCAAAGACGTTGCCCATTTGCTCTGACAATGATCTGAGGCTTCATTGAGGAGGCTTTGAACCTAGGCACCATTGATAGGCTGACACTTTCAGCCAATCACCAAATCTCCATTTACAAAAGTGTGTAAGAAAGGTATGTACCTTTTTCGCACAGTTTTGTGAATGGGGAGGTAGTGATGGGCTGATAGTGTCAGCTAATGTAATATGACTGCTGATGTAATGTAACTGCTTGCCCAAGCTTGCAGCAATGGAGAAATGTATTTGACTTAGACTTGTACCTTTTCTGTTTTATCAAATCACTGGCCTATCAAACCAATCAAACTGTCAGCTATACTGTCAGCTATATCATGCTTCGAAATAGAGCAAGCATAATGTGCTGCTCTGACAATGCCCTTTTATAGTGCTTTTGATGCTCGATGTCTATCTGTCATGTTAACGTCACAAGATGATGATACACTATAAATCATTAGTAATTATAATAATAAATTGTTCACTGAGCATATTCATGTATTGTGTTCCATTCAATGACACCCAGTTAACAAGACGCTAATCCAATAATGAGCCTCTTGTATTGCCGAAGGGAAACCCGAAGAGTACTTATCTGTCGGCTTGTGTCTCCTTAAATGTTTGAAGGGATGCAGATTATGGATCTCGTAAAAAAACTCCTTGTCAAATCATCATTATGTAATTAAGCAGAAAGAGTTAAAAGTTAGGATAGAACAATGGGGGAACAAAATACTTTTAGTGATGGTTAGTACAAAATACTGATTACTGCCTGAGGTTAACATAAACTTGGATAATTTATAATCCTTCACAAATGAGCAGTTTAAACATGCTACAGAAACTGAAATAATGTGCATTATATGTGTTAATTAGGTGTGCTATTTATATTTCACAGTTTTGCAAAGTTCTGTATATATATTATAGAGTCTCCAACAATGTGCTCTGTATATGTGTATTAGAGAAAGTAAGTGTATGAATGCATTACCAAATGCCATACTATTGTGCACTGTCCGAGATGCACATCAATGTGGGACATTCATGAGTTTGTTACAGAATTCACTAGTAACGCGCATGAATGTGTCACAGATCACCACAGCAGTGAAATGCACAGTAATGTGCAGCTTGTGTGTGTCTGCCACTGAATCCCATGTATTAGTATTAACAACACGCTTTCCCCCTTGGAATACCACAATAAAATTGAACACTTTGCCTCCCAGATCTTGTCCAGACTCTTTGCAGCATCAAAACACATTAGGACAGGTTCATCACCCTATTTCACAATAAAATCTAACTTCTTCATATGAAAATGCCATTTGTCACACTTCTTCCTAGATTTTGATCTATACAAACATGGCGATTTTCAATACACTATACAGCTAGGTCTGTGGCCTTGCGGCTTAGCTTCCTAGGATGGACAAAAGGTCTGCTAGGGAAGTGCCAGTAACTGTTGATTTTTTTCACAGATCAAGTGACAACTGACCAATC